ATCATAATAATATGCTGATTTGCTGCTCAAGAAACATTTCTGATTATTATCAATGTTGAAAACAGTTGCGCTGCCCGATATTTTTGCAGAAACTGTGATACATTTTATTTTTCAGGATTCACAGAAGAGTATAAAGTTCAGAAGAACAGCATTTAATTGAAATAGAAATCTTTTCGAACATTATAATAAATGTCTTTACTGTCACATTTGATCAATTTAATGCATCCTTACTGAATAAAAGCAGTAATTTCTTTCAAAAAAAAGTCTCTCACCGGTTCCTTTCTTGCAGACGTAGGGTAGATTGTAGTTGCAGGGCACGTCGTTCCATTTGCCGTCCTCTCTGGTGATCATCACCACACAATCCTCTCCGCCCGCGAAGAAGTTATCCGGCTGATTCTCACGCCAGTTCTCGTACACCTGTGAGAGGAACAGACAATGTCCAATTATTACAAATGAGGGAATCTGGAATAAGAATGTGCACGGAAATCTGAATGGAATGACTAAACCACATTAACAGTCAGATTGTTGCAGAACATGTAAATACAGTCAGTGAGTAAAACACTGCAGTTTGAGTTTGATTTCATCACAGTCTACAGGTGAAGGTTCAAGTGATGTTTATTTGGGACTGATTCATTTAAAAATGACTCACAACATCCATCCCATCAGTCCACTGGAAATCCTCCTCCACTGTACGATCGTTCAACCCGATCCAGACGTTCTCATGACCCAGACCTGAAAAACAATAGATTTCCCTTATATTGCCATCCAGTAAAAATAGTTTAAATATTTACTTGAAGTCCACCTGAGATTTTAAATGAATATTTGAATAATTTAATAACACGTACATATGGTTCTCTGATATCGGATAGTCAACAAAGCAGGTAAACAAAATATTACTTCTTTTTTGAGCAAGTATTTTGATTGTTTTTCAATTATTTATTTTAATTTTACATTTTTATTATTTAATCACCAACTCTGCTTGTACTATGCTTGTAAAATGTTAAAGTTTTTAATTTTTATATTATTTTATATAATGTTTTGAAATTATTATTTGTATTAATTTATGATATTTATTTATGTATTTTTTAATCTAGGCTTGTGACGGACCGTTAAGGAAGTCCTGCTCCATGGAGGAAGTGATGCTGGTCAGGTGACTGCTGTGCTCCCTGCAGTCTTTCTCTGCGTCCTCCCAGGTGTGTCTGCGTGGAAACAGACGGTAGCAGTGACCGTGAAACTTCTTCCATCCGTGTTCACAGCCCTCTGTGTCTGCAGACAGAAAAAAGACATCACTCACAGGGTTATTATGGTTAATTAAAACTAAAATGAAAAAAAAAAAAACACATACGGAAGCTTGTTTCAGCCGCAGGATAAAAAATTAAAAAGCTAATCGCGACTTCTTATCTCACAATTCTGACTCTTTTTTTTTTCTCTTTCAATTCTGAGTTTATATTGTGCAATTCCAAGTTTATCTCTCAAAATTCTAAAATGCAAAAAAAAAAAAAAAACATAAATAAATATATAAAAAATATATATATTAATAAAAAAATAAAAAAACAGAATGTAATGAGATGTAAACTCAGAATTCAGAGGGAAGAAAGGCAGAATTGCAACATGTAAACTCTTAAATGCCAGAAAAAAATAGTATATTTCCTGCAATTCTGACAAAAAAAAAAAAATTTTGTGAGATAAAAGGTTATGGGGCTTCCATAAAAACTACTACAACTAAAACTGAAATAAATATTAACGATATAGACATCTGAAACAACAACAACAACAAATAATGACTAAAACTCACAACAAAATTCCTAAAAACTCAAATAAAACGAAAATGATAAAAAACTAATTCAAAATATTAATAAGTTATATTATATCAATGATACTAAAACACACTGATATACACAGTATCGCATCATACTTTTTCTAAACAAGCGTCAGGAATGTTTTCATATGCATGAATCATTTCAGCTCATTGGTGTTTATTATTATGCATTCCCATAATCCATCTCTGCGCTCACGGTTCCATCAGATTACCATTCATCAAAACATTAATAAAACCCCTGAAAGCTCAGTCTACCTGCAGTGTGTGTGCGAGATGTATGGTTAAATCTGAATGAAGGCCACCAGAGACCTGCTATTAAAGCAGCACACAGATGTAATTAAGTCTCTATCTCTAGTGGAGGGGCGGAAGAAACACTGAACACCAAGGTCGAGCAAGTGTGGATAATGAATGAGGGATAATGTACAATCAGCCTGTCATTACTGCAAAACAAACCCACCGCAGGGTCTCGTATCACCCAGACATGGGCCTGAAGTATAAACGTTGCGTACGCACAAAATGGGCATGGAAATGTGCGTACGCAATTTTCCACGCACATATCGGGATTTATCAAAAATAAACTAGGCATAAATATGTGCGCACCATACGGACACTCTAGACCATGCGTACGCACTCTTTTACTGGAGTGAGCGAAATAAGGAAGCAAACAGAATGATTTTAAAGTCTGTTTGACTTTTGACATACACATATAGATTAAATATGACACTCTCAATAATTAGCATACAGTTTGGATTGGCGGTATGGTTCTGTTCTGGGCAAGAACTCCCTGTGCATCCATGCAGCCTAGGATGGATGAGAGCAGGGAGAGCAGCGATAACCCCCCAGGGTAAACAGAACAGAACCAACATAAATGAATTGTAGATATTGTTAAAGTTCTATAATGCTATGAACACATTTAGAATTAGTCTGATTCAAAGGAGAATCACTTGATTCGTCTGAAGGCTTTGGAACATGGACGGTAACGACAGACATAAGGATGCACTTGTTGATCAAACAGTCCATTGGCTGGTTTGAACAGGTTTGATGACAGTACTCTAGAACCTCTGTTCAACTCCTTTCGTGCTCTTCCCAATATTGTGACAAGCATCATATTTAAAAGATAGAATTTGAAGGAAACTGTAAGATATGCACGTTTTATTTTCAAAATGTTTTTGTTATTGACACGGTGAGTCAGGCAGTTATTTACACTCCAAAAAAATAAGGCCTATCTCCATTCAACTATACATTCTAAAATATATGTTTACTCTATAGGCAGAATTGCATATAATTTGAATAGCAATGTGATGTCTCAAAAAGCATTTATAGTACGTATCTCGTATTTTCCTAACGTATTGTACCCTTAACTGCATTAAACATGGTGTCACGTGGATGGAATATGCATGGAAATGATATGCAGATGACGTTATGCATATTAAAACTAGGCGTTCTAAGCTCCATATATGGTGATTTCAGGGAGGAGACGGGGTGGAGATTCATGTATGCACAATCTTCCGCTTACTGGGTATTACAAAGGGAATTCTGCTCAGGTTCTGGCGTACGCATGACTTTATAAATCTGAAAACTTTTGTACGTACGCAAAATCTAGCTTTTGTACGTACGCACACATTTAGGATGAAATCTACGTAAAGTTTTATACATGAGGCCCCAGCTGACTGAACATTATCCTGCTTATTAAATGGATTCTTATAAAATAAATAAGATATGAAACATTGATATGACTGTAAATTATTTATTATGTGAGAAGAAAAAGAGTGTGGAGTGATATGAGAGACATGGAACTAAAAAATATATAGTGTCATTATAGACTGTAAAAAATGATTTTTCAAAGTTGTAAATAAAACAAAGATTTAAAAAAAAATTTTACTTCAAAATTTCATGCGTGTTACTTGCAGGTTCTTTGTAATTATTTGTGAAATGTACTAGCAATTTCTGAGTGAAAATTGTTTACTTGTAATTTTTTTTTTTCAGTGTACACACAATAATCAATGATTTCAAAAGAGTTCAACAATATAGTATGATGAAGAGAAGCTACACTCTTAAAAATAAAGGTGCTTCAAAAGGTTCTTCAAGCGATGCCATAGAAGAACGCTTTTTGGTTCCACGAAGAACCATTTAGTCAAAGGTTCTTTAAAGAACCATCTCTTTCTTACCTTTTTATAATCTGAAGAACCTTCTTTCGCCACAAAGAACCTTTTGTGAAACAGAACGGTTCTTCAGATGTTAAAGGTTCTTTATGGAACCATTTAGACAAAAAGGTTCTTCTATGGCATCGTGAAGCACCTTTATTTTTAAGAGTGTACTACAGTTTATGCTGAATTAAATGCCAGATACAGTTTAATGTTTGTAATATACCAATAATAACCAGAAAACAATTTTATGCATAATGCAGGACTTTTAATTATTAAAAAAGCCAAAATATGCCATGACTCTTATTTTGAAATGTCTTTGCCTTAATTATTCCAGCTGCCTTTTTAAAAAGGTGAGGGAGATAAAATATGCACTTTTATATACATAATACTCTTATAACATACAGAATTACAATATAAACCCCATAAAGTAATTCATTAATTCATAACAGTAAATCACAATCACGGTTTTCTTTGCTAACATTATTAGCTTTACATGACATCCATTTGCACTATATTACATTTTACTGATTTTTGCACAATGTGAATATGCACATGCGATATATGCAAGGTATTATTGGATATGCAATATGTTAATTTGATAAACTTGCCTATTGCATATGCAATATATTAATTTGATCATAAAGTAAATTGTGTAGTGAAGTCTATGGCTCACATCTTTGTATCATTGCCTTTTAAAGTTTAAATTTGTAAGAATTTTGCTATACCATTTAAGATATCTTAGATTCTCCACGACCTTAAATTTGATCAAACTGAACTTTTTTAAGGACCCTGGGGAGCCTTTTGAAATCATATGATGCTTTATGTATCAAAATCAAATCAAAATACAAGTCTTTATGACTGATAATCATTGACCTGGAATATAGCACACAGATCAGATTAATCACTTTTATGATGACTTTTTGCTCGACAGCATCCGTTAATGTTCACTTTTGATTGCGAATTTTGTGTGTTTTCTGGTTATATACATTTTTCTGAATTGTTCTTTTATCTATTTTACTGTAAATACTGTAAACTTTAAGTAATGCTTATTCAGAAAGCAAATGAAAAATACTTCCAGAGCAAGACAGCTGAACAGTCACTGTTGCGCTCTATTGGAATAATCTCAGATTAAACACAAACATCCAGTGGACTGTGAAACGAATGTCCATCAGCTGCAGACGCTATCTAAATCTCTACAGCATCATAACTATGATGAAGCATCTACCAAATACACACACAATAATGCGTCTCAAATACAGTGCTGTGACATCAAACTCGTGTGTAGCAGTTCTGTGCCATCAGACAACTGCATTATTAGCAGTAATGCATCATCGTTAGAGTCGCTGTCGTCATGGGATGCAGAGGAGGGTGAGCGATGCTCATGAGTCTGCAAAACCACTGAGATGAACGCCACAATGTGTTATAAAGAGAGAGTTAGAGAGAGAGAGAGAGCGGTCAACATGCACAGCACACCTTTGAGACACTGACAAACAATGTAAAACACTAATGAGAGGAATGAAAAGGCCTGGCAGAACTCGCAAAAGCTTGTTTTCCTTGCCAATATTACTAGCTGACTCCATTAATATTGTTATTGTACTTTATTCGACTGATATTGCATATGCGGTATATTAATTTGAATGATTTTTGCACAGTGCGAATATGCATATGCAATATATGCAAGATATTATTGCATATGAAATATATTGACGACTGATTTTTGCATGTGAGTATGCATGTGCAATATATGCAAGATATTGCTGCATATGCAATACATTAATTTGACTTATTTTTGCACAATTCAAATATACTTATGCAATTCATGCAAGATATTGCATAGCCATTATATTATTTGGCTGATATTTGCACAATGTAAATATGCGTATGCAATAAATGCAAGAGTTTACAGCATATGCAGTATATGAATTTGACTGACATTTGCTTAATGCAAATATGCATAAGCGATATATGCAAGATATTACCGAATATTGCATATGCAATATATTAATTTGAGCACAATGCATAATATGTTAATTTGACTTATTTTTGCACAATGCGAATATGTATGCGCAATATGCAAGATATTACTGCATACTGTATATGTACAATATATTAATTTGACAGATTTTTGCACATTGTGAATATTTAATATGTGCAAGATGTTAATTTGACAATTTTTTGCACAATACAAATATGCATTGCATATTTAATATGCAATGCAAATATGCATGTGCAATATATGCAAGAAATGACTGCATATTGTATATACAATATATTAATTTGACAGAATTTTGCACAATGCTAATATGCATGCACAATATATGCAAGATATTACTGCACAAGCAATTTATTAATTTAGTAAATAAGTAAAATAATGCACAGTAAAGCAAAAAAAAAAATTTGGCATACAAACAGAATTTAATTATGCAGTGAAGGTGTTTCCGAAATCTCAGAAAAAGTGCCTAAAACCCTTTTAAAACCAGCCTGACCAGTGGAAACCAGCTTGGTGAGTTAAGCTTTGCAACAAGGATAACCTTCATCTTAAAGGTGAAGACCTCCGAAGACATCACAATGATTGACAGGCAAAGAGTGTTTCTGATTGGCTAAAAGGTCTGGGCCACTCCCCTTTTCTCCTCAGGACCATCACAGAGCCACTGATTTCACTAATACTAGAGATATTTCATGTGTGCTGCTCCACAAGCATCACGTCCAGCACCTTTAGGCTGGTTTAAGAGTCATTTCCCAGCAGGGAACGGCTTAAATCTTAAAGCTCGCTTCAATTTGAGTGGAATGTGTTTGCAGATGTTTTCTGAGCTCATGTTCAGGCTCGGGCGTCTCACCTCTCTCACATCGGTCTCCGCTGTAACTCGGCAAACAGAGGCACACAAACGAGTCCTCTTTATCGATACAGGTGCCGCCGTTCTCACAGGGGTTCGACTGACAGTCATCAACATCTGAAAGAACAACAGTCATCACAGAGTCAGAAAGCATCACTCAGGAGTCTCTCTGTGTCCCAGAGCAAAACTACTTCTCAGCTCTTCTGTTTAAATATTAACTTGCTCTCAGATGATTCTCCCAAAGTTCCCTAGTAGAAATAAATTATACACATTACAATTATTTGGGTCTGTAAAAACATTGACTTCAGCAAACATCTGCATACATATGTATATTAATATATACAAACCCATTTTGTTGTTATTGTAACCTAAAACTACAGTATTAAAAAAAAAACTTTTTGGTACACCGTAAAAAAATAAATCCGTAAAATAACAGAAAAAGTACTGGCAGCTCATTACACATGACATCATCCATTCATTTTACAGACATTTCTGTTTAACTCTAAAACACAACGCAATGAAATGTAAAATTCAAAATACTGATAAAAAACCTGTAAACAAATAAATACAGAAAAATTCCTTCAAACTATACAGTATATTGTGCCCTATTTTCACAGATATTTTTTTAGAGTGTAACTGAAATAAAGCTGAAATAAAATAGAATATAAATAGATAAAAATCAGACAAAAAAGGAAAAAAGGAAACTTAAAAGTAAAAAAAAGGGGGGAAACGTGACTGGGGTAGTCAACACTACAAAACACAGCTGTTAAACATCGTTTTAATAATCCATTTAATAATTTGAATTAAAATAATCATTTACACTCAATACGTTATTACTGCGTACTGTTTTATAATGTACTACAATACTGAGGTGCAGATAACTGCCATTATTTGCATTAAGCAGTATAAATAGCAGAACATCCCGCAATAAAAACTAATAAAAATGCCCAAAACACAAAATAACTAAACGTTTAACTAAAGTGAAAACATAAAATATAAAAATAAAATCTTCAATTCGAAATATTAACAAAAACCACAATAATATGCTAAAACAACACTGGAATATAGAGCACATTTCAAATAAACTGTTTTATGTTGTTTTTAGAGTGTAACAGAATTAATCACTGTCCAAACAGGGTCACTGCATGGAAAAGAGCAGGTCAAACCATCTGCGTGTATTTTCCACTGAAGAAATCAAGTCATGCAGGTTTGGAGCAGTAATATCTCGGTTAAAGGTGCCATAGAATGGAAAACTGTATTTACCTTGGCATAGTTGTATAATAACAGTTCTGTACATGGAAATGGCATACCGTGAGCCTCAAACACCATTGTTTCCTCCTTCTTATGTAAATCTCGTGCATGCAAAAGACCACTGAAAAACAGTCGAATCAGAACATAACACTCACTGTGACGTTACAGTCGGGAACACTAATAGTTACGCCCCCAACATTTGCATATACCCGCCCATGTTCTAGGCCAACCGGACCTGCACAGCCAACAGCCGAATCATCAGAAGTTCTGCAGGTATTGTGAAGAAACAAGCGAGGATAATAGCGAAAATGGCAGATCATGGAAATAAATGTTATGTTCCAGGCTGTGCAGGGATGGGTTGGTGTCTGTAATCAGAAAGGCACGGAAAACAAATAACGAGCATTCTAATAAAATAAGCCACTAATAAAATATAATAAATCTAATAAAATCGAGCCACTAAAGGGACATGGTTAGCTGCTTGCTAGCGGTAGCCTGTTACATCACGGTACATAAGATTTCACTTACCACATAAACAGAGTAAGGAGAGATGACTTAGGATGATGGCGAATGATTTACAGATCCTGAGCACCACTGACAAGCATCTGATTTTGTAAAATGTGTGGTAAGTACTGCCGCTGTAGTTTACACAGAGCACGTGCGATCGCAAATCTCGAAAGTGAAAGTAAAA